AAAGAATGCGGCAAACCTTGAGCTCGGGATCTCTCGCCGGTTCGAAGGTAGCCTCAAGGTGAATTCTTTCTCCTTCTGGGACTCCTTCTGCCGACTGCAGCTGATTAATGAAAGCCGGCTTTTCACGTTGCACAACTTCTTCCTTCTCTTCCACAACCTAAAACACACCGTTGAATTCTTCTGGAAGCTTCTGGAAATCTTTTTTATGAAAGAAGTGCATAAATCACTGACCACAGGAGCTTCGAGTTCTTGAATCTTTTGCCATGAAACTGGATGTTGTGGGTCGAGTAGAATTCGCTCATAACCTAGAAAATTCATTTATCCCAAAAATCCTATCAGGGATATCCCACCACTCACCGTCAATCTTAACCGTAGCGCTAGTGCTAGCTTCTCCAGCCAGGTTATAAGCTCGGCAAGTGTAGACGCCGGAATCATGCGGAAGTGTATGTACGATAGTCAAAATAGCATTTCCAAAGTCAAGTTCCTGTCGGAATCGATTAGCTGGAAAATCGATAATCGATCAGCTATGATAGCGAGATTTTGTACTGTAATTACCGTTCATGAGTGGTTTTCCATTGAGCAACCAATCAACACGAAGGTTAGGATCACCAGATGGTTCAACGAGACCGTGAAGCTCGACAACTTGTCCTTCGGGCACATTTTCGACATTCTATACAGTTTTAGTTATTCCTTTTTGGCTTTTCCGTATTTGCAGACTCGGCAAACCTCAAACGGCTGAATCCATTGTGGTTTGCCATATTCTCTTTCTGGTGCTTCTAAGCGAGCGAACTTATCCATAGATTCCATTTCTCTGATCTTTTGGAGCGATTCCGGATGAGCGGTGTCGAGCAGCAACCCCTCTGTGCCTGAACAATCGATCAATATCGATCAATCAAAGCTCCGAAATTACTAGATTTACCTTGTACGCTAATAGATGCACTAGTGACTGCAGCTCCTTGGTCGTTAACAGCCTTACAAGAGTAAACTCCAGTATGACGAGCATGGCATGGGGCAATTCGTAAGGAAACATTTCCAAAATCGTTGTTTGTTGCGATCCAGTTCGAGTCCTTGAAGAATCAATATCAATCGATTTATAGATTTTGTTGTATAGTCAGTGTCACAAAGATTTGAAAATGCCTTACTTGCAGAGGTGAATCGTTGAAGAACCAA